CTGTTAGCCAGTTTATAATAGAGAATGACTTTTTATTTTCCACTTTATGACTTCTTGCTGCCTCATCATCCTGAGCAGTAACCCTTGGGGATGAAAGCTGACTCATTCACAGTCTAATCGAGCTTAATAATTGCAGTTTGTCACAGTTTTCAGTTATTTCAGTTTTCATTTGCCTTGGTATGTTGTCCAGGTGATGTACTTGATACATTGCTGTTGGATGCGGGGATGTTCACAAGGATGGGAAAGAAGATGGGTGGCTGAGAAATGGTATATTATTGGTTTAGGCAGAGGCTCTTTTTTTAGACAAAGAAAAGATCTATTGCCTGATAGCCTGATAGGAGATTGTTCTTTTACTGCATTATCAAAGCCCCCCGATATGACATGTGGTCTAGATACCCAGCTTTCAGATCAGATAGAAAAATATTTGTTTTTATTTCAAAGAACAGCTACATTGTACTGAGAGTTAATCAACATAAACATATTTCCAGTGTGAAACTGAAAATACAGAAACAACAGAATTTACAATACTTTTAAAATGAGATAAAGGAGAATATTAATGAAATGTGGTATTCAGTAACCTCATCTGGGTTCACCTGTTCTGCAACAGAATTCATAGTACTATGGCGGACCAAGAGACCATAAGGTTTTGCTGTAAAGAAAAGAATGTATTTTATCCCAAAGCAGGGCCCTTGTATCACTTCTAGTATGTACACATGTGCCCTGCCAATGCTAGCACTGATACTCAGTTTTACCAGTTTTGTTTTACAAGTTTTGGCACTTGTACATTTGGCAACAAATTTTTGATTGAAAGTACATATTGATCTGAGATTAATGCAGTATATAAGACCAACAAAAATTAAATAGTTGTTGACAATAGCTTGGAAGTTTCTTCTATGTTAGTTTTTGTCACTTAAGTAGTTTTTGTCTTGTCTTATCCTATTTTTTGATAAGGTATTCTTTGAGAGTACTTAATAACAGATGTTGTAGTTATAGTCAGTAACAGAATACTTTGAATAAAACTTTATTCACATTAGGCACAGTATAGTATATTCTTTATCCCATTTGCTTTAATTGGTTGCTTTCCTTTTAAATTATATTCCTCATTTAAGCTCATAAATTTTTCAAGATCTAAAGTAATTTAACAAAATAAAAAAAGAAATATGCAAAACGCACATTTGGTCAATGGCATAGTTATACTGAACTGGATTCATGATGGTAAAATGGATGATTGCAGTTGAAAAAGACATAGACTGTAATAGACTGTACTGCATCTTGCGCATTTGTCAATCCATTCCTCTTAGGAATCCAAAAATATCTATAAAATGCAGCATAAGCCAAAGAATCTTAATGGAATATGTATCTCCTGTTTTATTTATAAATATTTCAGTCAGATGGTATTCATCCTTAAAAATACAGTTCAGGAATCCAAATTGTAATGCCAGTGTAACAGGTAGGGAAATTGCTTTGCTTGATTAAACAATATATCAGACAATATGTATTTTGGTTATTACAATATGCATTTTGACTGTTATTATAAATTCTAATAGCAAAATTGGGCAGAATTTCTCAAGTGTGTTAGTTGTTTATAAACAACCGCCTCTTCTGTCGGTGGCTCATGTTTCAAAACAGTGCAACAATGAGAGACACTAAAGACCGCTGATAATTTTTCCAATTTTACCAGCCCTTGTTGATATCATATATGGATAACTTATGAAGTGGAAACCTTGTACAGTAAGAGCATCATGACTAGAAAACAGGTGAAGCACTGCAGAAGAAGGTGGGAGGGCAAATGTAGGGTTTTGTCAAATGTCATGACCCATTTCTAAAGAACTTCATATTATTTGTAATACAGTCAGATATGAGGGTTGGAACTTTAGGGAGCAGGCATAAGCCATTAGGACTGTCAATGATTTGATTTACAGTAATCGTTACTTGGCTAATTTGACTAAGCTTTTTTTTTTTTTTTGTTCCAGTAAGATGTTCTGTGTTATTCTTAGTTCAGTCAATGCATTCAGTCAATGCACAATTTGCCTTTACTTCCAACATCTATATATGCCATGTGTGCTATTTTGATCTACAAAAGAATTCCCAAAAAGTCATGGCTGTGAAAGCCTTTTTCTTATCCTTAGTGGCTGGCTCTAGAAAGAAACATGGTTTGGCATATGTGCTCTTAGAGATCTTATGTATGCTGGTCAATTCTCTGGATAGGTGACTGTAGAGTTTGATCACTCATGTTAATACTTGCTACGGTTTGATTATTAGGTATGGGTTCAAATGACTTAGGAATGGAAGGAGGAGTTCAGAAGTTCCTTTTGAACTCTTCCTATAGCAGGTGTGAAGATTAGATTAGCGGGAGTTATAGTAAATTCAAAGGTTTGACATCTGTCAATGTCAAAGAAAAATGAAAAAGAAATCCTGACAGTGATTTAGCTATAGACTAGCAAAAGAAATTAAGAAAACCAAGCTGTGAGAAATGGTCCTGTGTTGACAGACAAATGGTCTACATAAGTAGAACCGTCGTTCTATTTATCCACGTCTTCCTAACCTAATGTGAAGACTATTCTAGGTTTGAGCAGGAAAACACTGTAAACTTTTCTATGTTGTCTTATTGCTAGAGATACATATGATATAATGAGGTTTGGGCACTTTGTACATTCATTAGTCCTGTGTTTCAATTGTAAACCCTGATTTATGCCACATTTTATTTGGGTATATATTTTTTTTTTTTTTCTAAGCTTGACTACGTTGCATAACTTGATATTTAAATTTATGTTCTAATATAATTTTACCGTGGTTTAAACTCTTCTGGCAGCCAAGCACCACGCAGCTGTTTGCTTACCCTCCCCCACCCAAGGGATGGGAGAGAGAAATGGGGGGGTAAAGTTAAGGAGTTGCATAGCTTGAGATAAAACCAGTTTAACAATTGAAATAAAATAATAGTAGTAATAATAATAGAAAATACGAACTGGTAGTGCACAATGGGATTGTTCACCACCCACCAACCATGTCCAGCCTGTTCCTGACTAGCGATCCCAGAGAAGAGAAGATCCCAAAACTGCAATCCCAGAAGTGAGAGCCCTCCATTCCCAGCTGACCCTCCTCTATATCTATCATGATGTTATATGGTATCTGCAGTACCTTTGCAAGGAAACTACCATTTGCTTTACCTGTGGCTTGTTTTTTTTTCAACTTTTTATAAAAAAGCACAAATAGGTCTTTGCTTTTTTATAAAAAGTTGAAAACAGTGGATGTTTTGCTTTTGTGTCTGAAACTTGTGTCATATTTTATGAAGTTTGGAGAAATATTTATGCGAGTACTAGAACAAATGTGCAAATGGCTGCTTCATTTTCTAAGCCTTTCTACTGGAAATGTTGCAGATGTTATTTGAGATACTTTATATAAATCTCTTGTATATCTGAATTTGTTTAACTTCAGAAAAGAGATAATTTGTATCTGTTGTTATTATTGAGGTGAAATATTAAGAGTTTGGAGTTGCAAATTCTTTAATGGATTTTCTGTTCCCACTGGATTATCTGATTGAATCTTGTGCACTTCAAATTTTACAGAAGGATGCAGTGTTTAGAGGTGCCAATTTCCCTGGTAAACCTAGAGTTAACAAAGACTTCCTATAGAAAGATATTTTCAAATGGAAAACCATATAGGATGACCTGTATCTATGGGCGTGGCAAACATGATATAGAGACCAATGGCACTGTAAGAGAATAAAAAAGGAAATTATTTGATGACTGCATCTAAAAATAATTTCTGTTAAAGATTATATGCTTGCAAAATGCTTGTCATGAATCTTAAATATATGCTGGGATTGACTGTTAGGAAGGCTGGGCTTCAGTTAGGTGAAGCTTGTCAGTTATAATGAAATCTTGTCTTCTATTCTGCTTTTTGATAAGGTATTCTCTAATGCCATTTATAATGTACTAGGAAAATTTAGATTTTTTTAAAGCTGTTTCCTATTTTAATACATCTTGGCAAGGCTAAGCCTGCTGTGCCTATGGACAGATAGCAAACATGATGAATAGCCCTAAAGTTTAGTTTTGTTTGAACAGCTGCAGAATTTACTTAAATATGGACTGAAATATCCGTGACTAGGGTTATATTTGTTTTCCCGAATAGGAAAGATGTTATTCGTCACTGGAGTGAAACATCAAACATCAAAGAAAACAGAATTTTGTAACCCTGTGTTAATCTCCTGTTAGAAGTAAATGGTGTAAAAAAGCTGGAAAAGTTTCCTCTCTACCAAAGGGAAAAAGCAAAGCTTTTTCTGGTTTTTGTTGTGGATAATGTTAGATTCAATTCTTCTAAATTCGTGACATACGATTTTTCCTTGCCCCACTTGGGGTAGTGTGAGCTTTTATAGCATGTTATTCTTTTCTAAATAACTTAGACAAGAATGGGAAAAAGAGAGGAAACAATACTGTTTTATTTCAGAGTGTGAGGCTGTGCATAGATTGGCGTTTTGAGATAGATAAGCTATATTGTACCAGAGGCGCTGATCCCACGAACATCCAGGCTGGTGGCTGTTTGTTGCGTACCGGGGAGCATCTAGCCCTTCCCTTACTTGCAAACCAAGATACAGGAATGGGAACTGATGTTCCCACACTTACAGTTTTCTTCAAAAATCTGGGTTCTCAGGAATGGAGTAGTTTGCTTTTCCCGAAGAATGCCAATCAGTCAGTTTTTCAATTTTTACTGCTTTTTATTTTGCTGTTTTGTTTTTGATACCTGATGATTTTGTCATGAGAGAAAATTTGTCTGTGGTTCTAAACCTGATCTTTTACCTTTGAGATTCTGTTTTCATTACAAGGTTTTATGCCTCCTCAGAAAGTGGTGTTTAATAAATATATAATCATTTGTATTAAAAAATATTTAAAAATTACACAGCCTGCATTGAACCATGTTGCATTTGTTAGGATTAAAGATTAATAATCTGTTATCTGCATGCCTTGTTTAATTTTTATCTTTCTGTTTATTTTATTTTACAGGATGCTGTACTTTCGATGAGCCTCTCAGTTCCTGTGGCTATAGTCAGTCAGATGATGATGATCTTAACTGGGATCAGGTGAACGCACCAATAAAGCCCTCCTCAAGTCAAGGGATGCCATCTGGTTGGTCTTTTATTTTGCTTTGTTTCTCTTTGACAGACTATGGTTGGAATGCTGCTTTGTCTAAATCTCTTTGTTAATTGCAATACTCAGGTCTTGCCAGTGATTTTTGGGAGGGATATTTTGCAAACCAAAGGTTTTCTTTCATTGTGTGGGGAACATAAAGGTTAGAAGCTAAAAATAAAAACTTGGTGTCATCACAGAAGGCAGAAGGAAAACAGAATGATGGCATGAAAATGAATATAAAGTACTATGAGAAGCAGGCAGAACTACTCAGGAAGACTCGAAGGAAGAGGAAATAGTAGGAGATAAACGTGATCTTAGGTATTCTCACTGAAAGAGAGATTAATCAAAATCTGTTCTGAAAAGAAATAGGGAGTGAAAGAATTGAGAGAAACAGGAAAGGAGAGGTATTCCAAAGCAAAGGGCTTCAATGATATTATGCATGTTGTGTTTAAAAGACAGCTGTGATACTGTTATTTAATGTACTTTGTGCAATGAATGCAGCTGGACCTAAGACCATAGCAACAGCCCCTTGCATTCTGCTGAACTATAAATTTGCTCTGGTAATACAGTGATTCCTTTACAATTTCACTCCCACAAATATATACAATCCAAGCATTGTTTTTAAACTATTCACTAGCCTAAAATTTATCAATTATTATTTTTTCATGTATTTATCTAAGCATATTAAGAGTTCCCCCATGTACTGATCTCCATCTCTTGAGGGATGATTGCCTGCAGCCCAGCTCAGCATTTGCTCTGGCTTTTAAAGAGTGAGCTTTCTGTGATTATTGTCACCTAGAAGTAGCCAAAACATAAAAACACATGGGACTTCATCACTTAAAAGCATTGCAGATTAATGTCCTGGTGTTTCACATCCATTTCAGTTAGTTCTTTAAGGCACCCATAATGCATTTTGGCATTTGTGTAAAATCTCTTTAATAGTTGTCCTTTTCAAGAAAACATTCCTCTCTTATTTTTGGATGAGACAATTAGGAGATAAACAGTGTGCATCTTCAGAAGTGACTGTATAAACAAAATCTGAAAGTATGCACTCATCAGTAGGAGACTGATAAATGCACTAATGTACAATATGCAGCAATCAGCCCTAGATATCTTCACTTGTAAAAATGTTCTCAGCAGTCTTCACTATAGATTTCCCAATGTTGCCATGTGTTGTGGACACCAGTATATCCAAGGTTGATGGTTGAACTGAAGTGCCTTCTCCTTCAGCGCTTTGTTTCCTCTGACAAAGCTAGGACTCCCAACTTCAAGATGAATGTTCAGTTTGCCTGAGTTCCAGCACTTGGATCGTCCTGCTAGATTGAGTTCATCAGCTCAAATAAAGGAGGTTCTTGCAAATTCCTTTTTAAACTGGCTCTTGTCCAGTTGTCTTGGCACACACTGCTAAAATTTTTCTGGGCTATTTCATTAGTGCTTAATGCTGTTTCTCAAGTTGGAGGTACACACATAGTTTATCAGTCATCTTGGCTTGCAGTACAAGCTATACATTCTTTTTCTAAATCACGCCACTGGAAATTCTTTTCTATTCCAAATTTCATTCATTACTCTCCCCACTTGGATTTTGTGAAAGCGATTGTCAGTATGTGTTGTTCAGTCATCTTGGCAGATAGAAGAGGTTCAAATCTATGTACTTTTCTGTGACGACCGTAGGCTTGAGGATTTTTTAGTTTGTTTTGTTTTCCCAGGGGCAAGAGTCCAGTCAAGGGACTGATATTTTTATGGAGGGAAAATGCTACGTATGTCATCTGATAAATAGTTACATATAAATGATTTCTTATTTGTCTTCCTGCCTTTTTATCAGAAGACTAAAATAATGTTCTGATGATCAAACAAAAAGGTATTACATTTGGTAATAAATTATATTTATAGTTTAGGGAGTTTTATTCTTGTCCATAAAGGAAGTGAAATATGCCTTGGGAGTCTTGGGTCAGAAGATGAACGAGTTAGTCTGAAGGGGGTTGTGGATACTGGTGCCTTAAAAGGTCAAAAACCCCTTTGAGAGGGAAAGAAATGCTCATTTTTTGCAAATGAGAAACAGTGTGTCTAAGGGCACAATTCAGTCAAGTGGTATCTAATTTTTCCTCATAATTTCATCTAGACAGTTTTTTCCTGTTCTTGTTCAAACCATCATCTTAATGATTTTAATTAGTTTTCAGTTAGCCTTAGCCAGAGAGTTATGTGATACACTTATAAAATGATTTCAAGTAGTTTGTCAGCAGTTTCTGAGCTACATATTTTAGAAAAAATAACTTCGAATGATAATGAATAGAACATCTTAGATTAATGGTTTGTGGGGAATTCTTGGCTTTAAAGCAAAAGGCTTTATGCAACAATGTTGCAATACTAGAGTGAAACAAGAGCTCTCAGTTCAGTAGTCCCTTGTCAGTAGAAAAAAATTCTGCACATAATTTCAGGCAATATGCTTCAGTGAGTGGGTTGATGTCAATATGTAGTATTTTGTAAAATTTGGTGGCAGCCAGGGGGAGGCACAGTAGTTATGGAATTTGATTTATTTAATCCACATGAGTTTGTTGAGAGCCAAAATATTTATCTGAAACCAGGACATTCAGGTATGTTGTAGATGAAAACTGGTAAACTGTATCAAATATGATGATAAAAAATTTCTAAGTGTTTCTTACAGTTGACTTTAATCCTTGTTGGATTGTTACTGTAGTAGAGAAATATGAAGTTATTGCTACTAAAGTAAGTATGGTGCTAGCACTCTAATTTTCTTGATAAATATAAGTATGGCCTTTAATGAGTCAGTACTAATCTGAAATTGCCTTAAACGGACACAAAAAGCAATGACATATATATACTTCTGAATATATTTATATGGGTTAAATGAGAGTGGTTAATCCACTGCTCTTGTGTTTCAAGTGTCTTGGGAGTCAGAAGGAGTAAATGCTGTAGGAAGAGTGGCTCTTCCCTTTTCTCAGCCTCTGGCTTTATCCTTGTCTTTCTGTTCCAATAATGTATGTTTATAATAGTGTTCAAAACTTTAATTATAGAAACACTTAGTCATTATTAATGCCATCTTGCATTGTCCTATAGAACAGTTACAGCAGTTTGATATTAATGTGTTTATATACTACACATTTACAGTTACAGCTAACTGTAAACCCTCTAGCTGTAGTCCAGTAAAGATGTCTTCAGAAAAATATGCCCAAAGAGTAGATTACTCTAGAGGCAAGGTGTTGGCAGTGGGAATGCAGGGGTGACTACAGGAGCATATTCTCTGATAAGGGACCAGGGGCTGCCCCATGATTGACTCATCCAGTTCCAGCTGCCCCCAGTGGACCCACCACAGGGCACAGTTGAGCCCTTTAGTGACACTGGTGGCACCTTTATGGTAGCACATTTAAGAAAGGGTAAAAAATGCAGGGCAGCAGCTGTGAGTGAGAGGAGTAAGAAAAATGTGAGAGGCACCAGTGCACAGATTGCTCTGCAGCCCATGGAGAAGACTGTGGTGAGGCAGGCTGTCCCGTGCAGTCCATGCAGTTCCATGCTGGAGTAGATATCCGGTGCTGCAGCCTGTGGAGGACCCCATGCTGCAGCAGGTAGACATGCCCTGAAGGAAGCTACAGCCCCTGGAGAGCCCATACTGGAGCAGACTCCTGGCAGGAGCTGCAGCCCATGGAGAGAAGGCCATGCGTGAGCAGGTTTTCTGGCAGGGTCTGCAGCCTGTGGGGTACCCACAGTGGAGTAGTACATTCCAGGACTGTACCCCATGGAAAGGACTCATGCTGTAGTAGTTCCTGAAGAACTGCAGCCTTCTGGAATGATCTGGGACCATTGAAGCAGTTTGTGAAAGACTACCCACTGTGGGAGAGACCCCACACTGTAGCAGGGGAAAAGTATGAGGAGGAAGGAGCAGCAGAGGATCAAGTGTTATGGACTGACCACAAACCCTATTCCCCATTGCCCTGTGCCACTTGGGGGCAGAGGTAGAAGAGTTGAGAAACAAAGAAATGAAGTTGAACCTGGGAAGAAGGGGTAGGGTGGTGGGGAAGGTGTGTTTAGTTTTGTCTTTGTTTCTCACTATCCTACTCTAGTTTTAATTGTCAATAGATCAAATTAACTTTCTCCAAGTTAAGTCTGGTTTGCCCATGACAGCAACTGGTGAGTGATGTCCCTGTCTCTATCTGGACCTTCAAGATTATTCATCTCACTTTCTCCCCTTCAGCTATTGAGAAGGGGGAGTGAGAGAGCAGCTGGGTAGATGTCTTGGCAGCCAGACAAGGTCAACTCACCAGTAAAGACATTCCCAATCCAATTTATCACTTGTTTTTTTTTTTTTTTTTTTTTTTTTTTTTAAACGACACTTTTGATCAGTGTGGACAGTAGCACTATTGATGACATCTTCAATTTTGTCTTTCATTTAGATAATACCAAATTTAGAACATAATAATTTGTGCCAAATTCTTGCAGATTTTTGCCTCTCAGGTATCTACAAACCACTTCTTTGCATTTGGAGTGTGGTTGCAAAGATCCTTTTCCAAACCAGCTGCTTTGACTTTTTAAAAATTTCTTCTACAGAAGGGGAAAACTTCTGTTTTAGTACAGTAGAGGAAGCATCAAATATGAGCTATTTATCTCAATATTTTTTTTTGACTGTTACCTCCTTAGTTATCTTATATTAACATAAGTGTCGTTATAGCAATTTTGCTTTCTGCTACACCATGATATCAGTCTTCATCTAAATTTCAGGGAGAGATCTTTATGGTTTACTTCACATTACCTTACTGGTGGAAGGTGCTCCCTCTAAACACACATGTGACCACCTAATTGTTTTGAAACTCTCTTTTGTCACTGTGTCTGTTAAACAAAAGTGTGCCTAAATCCCTTTGCACTGTTCTATTAATTTCTGTTTCTTTACCTCATTTGTTTTTTTTTTTTTTTTGAATTCATTTTGTGTTTATCCAGCAGTTCTTGTTTAGTGCTCCAGGGTTCTGTGATCATGCAAATAAACATAA